AACGATGGTCAACCCGCCTGGCACGAATGGAGTCGGGACGAGTGATAGGGTAGCTGTGATGTTCTCGGTACTGCGCCTGGGCGTAGATGGCCCAGCAAAGTCAGGGTAGTATTGTTGCGAAAGTGACGGAGAACTCTGATTGACCTTTCTGATCGTGTCTCGCGCCTGCCTATAAGCGTGTATAAGCGCAAGACAGGCACCAGAGATGGTCTGGACCGTAGAGAAGAAGTAGATGGCCAGAGACTGGAGAGAGAAGGTGTTCCGAGGTACTGTGGCTTTGTCTGACAACGCGGTTGGAGGTGTCTGTAAAGGGTCCGTTCGCTATGGAATACAGACATTAGTGGACTTGTCGGGTAGTAAGGGTAAAGGTCATCTTGTCGGGCAAGACTCATTCATTCAGCATAGTACAAGCAATAGCTCGTCAAAAAAAGACTTGGGAACCTGAAAGGAGACCCATCTTAAGTGCATATAGCACCCTTCAAGCTAGCGATTCTGCCCGACGAAGTTGACATAGAGAGCTCAACACCAAAAGTGAACCGGCTTACCTCAGGAAACTTCGCCTCATGTCGTTCCGATACAAGGTTGTTCAACATTAACTTTTGAATAAACCAGGGCTGCGTGACGCAAGGGAGGACATTGCGAAGCAACACACTCAGGACGATCTCGCGCACGATATATCTTTCCGCCTCTGATTCATAGTCCTCCTGGGGAAGGCACGCCTTCAAGATGTGATCAATGGCCTGTCGTACATACACGTCGCTTATTTGTCCATCAGAATTTACGGCCATATGCGGCTGCAGATGGTGGAACAGCTGAGGCAAGGTAGCGGCGCCTCCCGAAGCATACGAGGTGTGCAACTTCGACTTCGCGTTGCGAAAGTCGACGTAGTGTTGCGTGACTAGTGCAGGAAGGTCTCGAAAGAAGAGTGGTGCAAGGTCAATGGAGACAAGGCGTGTTTCCAGAGCACGGATGACCGCAGTGAAGATGCGTGTAATTGTAGGCAAGAATTCCTTATCATAACGCGTAATTTTCGTCCACCACGGGTTCACGTATGCACGTAAAGCCAGAGCGATGAATTCGTATAGCTCCGCATTCAGGGCAGGTGTTGCAGAGGGGGACACCAGAAGAGGCGGGAGCTCGGCATCAGCAGGAAGTTGTGGGAAGAGCAGACGCCTGGGAAGAGAGGCAGCTTTGGACGCGGGCCTCGTTGCTGCTTTGTCGCCTACGGATGAGGATGAGGATTGTACGGAGCGGACAGAGCGTCGTGCACGCGAGATATTCGTTGCCATGGTTAAGGAATGACGAGCGCGAGTGGCAGTTTGTGTCTGACTATGATAGAGCTTGTGAAAGCCGGGTGTAACGACGCGTGCGTTGAACGTTGAACGTTACGTCGAACGTTACGTCGAACGTTACATTTGAAGACTGGACGCTGTAGCAATTTAAATAAACCATTCGCGGCTACAACGCGCTATAGAGTACTACAATAGCTTATGTACTGTCCTATAGTATAATCATGACTGCAGATGGCCACATACCCTTTGGTCCTCAGCTACTCATCTTCCTCTGCATCAGGCCATTCTCCTGCACCATCGATGAGCCCCGCCTCTTCCATCTTTTTAAACTCAGCCCAGAAAGCCCCGTAGCCCATGCTGACTGCAGGTTTTGTCTCCTCAACTCGAGATGAGAGGATGCTGTATGGCCTAGACAGCTGCAGCCACAGCTGCTCTGATCTGGGCTGAAGGATGGGTGCCCTGGACATGTTGATTCCTTCCATGTCAATGTTGGGAAGGTCATCAAACAGCTGAGCATCCTCCTCCTCCTCATCTTCTTCTTCCTGCTCCTTCCTGCTCATCTTCTTTGACCTTTGAGTGATTTTTGACAACATCTCTGACCTCTGACCTCGAGGATTGATGGCTTTGCTCACAGGCAAGGCTGTTACCATGTAGATGGGTATGTTATTTCTGGGGAGTGGTGGCAGATCTTGAAGCACTGGGTTGTATGGTCGATATGTTGGCCTTAGCCTGCCAGTGTTCTCTGCCATTGGTCTGTCAACCAACTTCATGTGGATATCACAGATGTGGGGCATGAGCAATGAATGATGACCACTGAAGGTGTGAGGGCAATCTGGTGACCACAATTAAGGTTGTACTTGTCTCCATAGATTAGACAAAGGACATACCAGAAACAGGGCAGAGTAGTGTAACACGAGACAGATGGCTAAGCTTGATGTGCTCCCAAAGGCCAATAAACGATGCATGAATGCGACCAGCACATTTGTGAAAATGGCAATCATATGTGCCCTGTGATAAGTTGTGTTATGCATTTTGCAGCTTATGGCACTAAACCATGAAGCTTACTTGAGCATGCTGGTTTTGACAGTGCATTTTGAGGTGCTATGTGACAAGACATCAGTGCCTTCATTCTCCACCTTAAGATGAATGATGGGTTCAAAAAATGATGCAGAGATCATGATGGTGATCACCACATGCATAGCATGAAGCAATGTTGACTCAACACAATCTTCTATGGCATAAGCATCATGGCATTACAGAGCAGACAGGCCACAAGGCTAAAAACCCACAAAGGAAAAAGCCACATACCTTCTGTAACTGTCGCCAGCTGTTCATTGTTGCCTCGCATCCTCTCCACTCACAAGCGATTGAATGGAGAACATCTTGTGCATATGCAATGGCATTGTCAAAGGTGAACATGGCCATTGATATTCACAAGTCCACAGTGACACTAAAGACAGTAGTAATGATGGGACAGAAGAGAACTTGACCCCCACGATCAATGCATGGTTGACCTACATTACAAATAATGCACAAATAGGGGACATTAGCCACCGGTGGCGTGACCATTAAATATTACAATGCTGGGGTCTAACCCATGCCAAAGTGTGACAGAGCAAAGTGAGAGTGTCACTAGTCACATGACTGAAATGTGTCTTGACGGCTACCTTGGCTATCTTGCTTGCGGCACAAGATTTTTGACAAGCACTGGTTCTTCACGAGTCTTTAAACGCAGCTTGCTACAGCAAAACTTTTCTCAGCCTTATATGTTTCTATCAACCTCATGAAGAAGATGAGGGTGACTCCATAACCACAGTCACAGTCACATAAATTATGAGCACAGTTAATTTACCCCTTAACAACAGCTGTTTACCGGAGCTTGGTCACACTGTGACACCTGTCACGTACGGCCATATCTTGACCGCCTCCGTTCATCCAATGCCAGTGCGAGTCTGTTGCACTAATGTTAGTCCATGAAACATGCAAGTACAATGATGAACCGTAACGGCACATAATGTTTGTCCAATTAGGCCTTCAGTATATCCCGTCATGAGTCCGAGAAGAATAGCTCCTTCAGGATACGGATGGTGTCTGCAGGGCTCATAACCGAGTGTCCGATTGTCCGTGAGTCGAAATATATCTCGTGGTCATTCCCGCCCTAGAATTTGCGGCGCTTCAACTGCAAGGTCAAAAAACACAAGAAGACGAGGAACCTTGTAGGTCTTGTCCGAACGAAATGTATTTCGTCGAATTGTTCGTGCTCGACGTGACGCAAACAGTAATGTTGACAGTTCGCACCAGACTGGGCTAGCTGTAGGGTAATGCACGTATACCGAGGGGCAAACCGATGCCCCCCCTGTATAATATCTGCCTACATATACATAAGACACTATGCGCACGGACCACCCGGCGCCTCCCATTTAGCCCAACCCGCGGGCTAATATCCCAGCGGTGTGGCGTAGCTCGCCAGAATCCAACAAGTAAGTCTTGTCCCATCCAGTAAGGCGGACGTCAAACGATGTTTGGCCGCCAATTGGAGTAGGTGAGGCCGTAATCTGGGAACTTCTCCTTGAGGACCTTTACGAAGGCTGCCCGGAATCCATGTTGCTGCGTGAGGATCGCGCAAGTCAGTAGCGTCACAGTGAGTGTGGAAGAGAGTCGAGTACCTTGTCGCACCCTTCAAACTCGTGTCGCTCAGCGATCCTGCGGGCCGAGTATATAACGTCAAAACAAGAATGCACTTCAAAAACCGGGACACCGCTTACGTTGCGTTGCGTCAAATTGGGCTGATGTTGATCATTTCGTTGAGGAAGTCAATGAATGTCCCCCCTGTGCAAGCCTTTGTTCAGAGAGACATCATAGCGTGAGTACTTGTAGACGTCATGCCACGTAGTGCAATATGAAGTTTCCCAGCTTCTTGTACCGCTCTTCGCCAATGAAGTTGATGAACGACTGCGACGGGCTCTGCCCCATTTCATACGCCGTCAAGCCGCGAGACGAACGGCTGGGAAAATGCCAGTGGGAGCAAGAGAGTATATGTCAGCGCGAGAGATGTCCAAGTGAATGCGGTGGGTGTTGACTGCGCCGCTGCCGCGCACGCTGAGAATGGGGGAGGCGGCAGAAGGGTAGCAGCATCGTCAGTGGCGGGTGTGCGTAATCAGAGCAAACGGGTATCAGACCAGCTGCATGAAAGGGTATAGGAGGGGTAGATGACGTCGATGAAGTCTGGACTGTTGGGCTAGAAATGCTACGCGGCATCGGCTTGAGCGAGGACATGGATGTCGGCGTTGGTGGGGTGTGCGGATGCGAGGGGGTGCCGTCGGGTGCTGTAACGATGGTCAACCCGCCTGGCACGAATGGAGTCGGGACGAGTGATAGGGTAGCTGTGATGTTCTCGGTACTGCGCCTGGGCG